CCACATGCCGCACGTCCCGCTCGAGAGCGTGCTGTTGACACACATATATCGAGTGGGTGTTGCTTATGTGTGCGTGAATGTTCGTGCATGTGTGTGTGTGTGTGTGTGTATATATATCCTGTGCGGTTATTGGCTTGACTCAGAATTGCCTACTTCCTCAGTTGTAAGTTTTCGCTTCCTCTCATCGCGTTGCGATAAAAATCAATGCACCCAAAAAAATGATACAAGCAAGGAGTAAAAAAGGAGTAAGGAGCAGAGAAAAGGATATGGCATATCTGCTTACATTGCCATGTCGCATGTCCCAAGTTCCTGACAGGGCGCACGTGCAACTAAAAACAAAGGGGTGAAGTAGCGCCTCCTGCCCTGCACCCTTTTTTTTTTTTTTTGGCTCACTGTGATTTCAGGCGTAACTTAATGCGCACTTGAATTATGTCGTTAAATTGTGTCGTCGTTGTCGGTGTCGTTGTTGTTGTTGTTGTTGTTGCTGTTGCTGCGGGCTGTGCGCCTAATTGTTGGTAACTTAAGACGGCCTTCGGGGCATGTTTCTGCACATCTGAGCTTCAAGCTGAACCTGAGCCTGCGACCGCGCCCGCGCCTGCGACTGCGACCGAGCACACTTGTCAGCCCGGTCATAAAACAAACAGAGCGCCAGGTGCTGACTCCACGGCGCACACCTTGGGCCACCACTTTAATAGCATTTTTACAAATGTAGAAGCCACAATACGAGTACACTACGTCTTCGCCCGACTACATACCTAATGATGATGAGCCCCACTCAACTAAATATGCGTGCGTGTCATTAAAAGCGCCAAATTGACAGGCACCCTGGCAATGCCAGCAAGCGATTTAAATCAATAAAAGCGCAACTTTGCAGGGCCTAGCAATTAAAAACGCATCAAGCCTAGACGCTGGCGCTTCAACAGCCAAGTCGCCAGCCAAAGCACCAGCAATATGAGCTAAAAATTTAACTATAGCCAGCCCTTTGATGTAATTTAATCTTATGAATTTAATATGCTTTTTGGAAATTAGAAAAACTTGGGTAACATAAGCAATGACTTTAAATTATCACTTGCAAATAAAAACAAAACTAACTTGAAAAACAATTAAAAAGAAGTCTTTCTTTTTATGTTAACAAAAGTTATTTGCCCTTTACTCTTTTTTTGAAGACAAGTCTGCAAAGTATTTGAGTTGTTTTATTTATTTGAATTATGATTATGTGACAGACTTTTAATAATTATTTATTTTTTGCTTGGCTTGCATTTTTATAATTATAATTCCCATCCCTGAATTTTTAATATGTACGTATTAACAATTTCTGCAGAGTTCTTAGAGATTTATATATTTATTTCTTATTTATTCATTCATTTCTCTGTCAATTCGTTGAACCACAGCAAGTACCCACAAGAAATTCAGAAAACTTGTATTTATTTTTTAACCGTTTCACTGAAGCAGCATAGACGGTTGTAAATTGTAGTTAAATGAACAAATGTTGAAAACTAGTCGTTTTCATTAATATTATGAATTTAATGATGATTTAATGATGGTAAGTTTCTAAATGAGAAGTTGAAAAAATACGTTCTTCAATTTCTTTTTAAAAGACGCACTTATTTTTCCTTTCTACAAGAAAACGCACTTGCAATAATATTATCAATCATAAAGCTCGCTGACTCCGCTACAGATCCAAATTAATATCGAAACAATAATCTGATTTATTAATTGGTGCTTTTCAAAAGTGATGTGCTTCTTCACATGGCGCTTTTAGATGAAGGGGCGGGCGGACTGGCTGATTATACTCGTATTAGCTGCCATGGAGGCGGTAATTAATACGTTCGATTGATTTGTTGTTGAGAAAACTGCAGCAGTACAAATCAAATGCAGCATGTAAACAAACAGAGCCGCGAGATGTCAGCAAAGGCGTGGCAGTCTGATTGCCTGATCGCCTGGCTGCCTGGCTGCCCACGAAAGTTCACACCTAGTTCACACACGCAGGCACACACACACACACGCAGACACACACACACACAGACTCGTACAACATGCAAGTGCTCATGCACAGTTAGTTAGGCATTCGGTTTTGGGGCTACGCACTCGGCACGTTTATTGTCTAATTAATGCAGCTTTTTATATACATTGCTACGCACTTGGCCCGTTCTACTATTTACACGTGATGCTGGATAATGGTGCTGTTGTTGTTTTTGTTGCTGTTGCTGTTGTCTATTAACAACATCGTCGGCCATGCCACTTACAATGCAAACACATTATTTAGCCATCTTTTAGGCTAGTTGATGCCGCGGCATTGTATTTAATCAATAAACTCAATTGTTTACCTTACGCACCCGTCGGCATTTTCAATTTTGTTTTCTGTTGTTTTTTTTTTTTTTTTTAGTTGTCGTTGTTGTTGTTGCTGTTGCTATGCAAACGCAACGCTATGTGTTTGTGCAGCTCAGAGCTGCGTGTCTGTGGCCACTTCTTGATGTGAATGTGAATGTGAATGCGAATGCATTAGCATGTTGCATCCGAGCCGGAGAGGGGCTCCTCCTCGAAGCTGGAAGTCGCCGTTGAGTGAGTGGGTAAATACATGGCTATGGTATACATGCATACGAGTATACTATGTTTGTATACATACTTACGTGTACATCGATCGCATGCTTAAGACAAAGGCGGGTAGTGCGCCTTAAAACATGATTATTTGCTCTTTGTCGTTACGCTTTTGTGCTCATTAGCAGTTGAGCATAAGGCTGAGCATGAGGAGGCTGACTGGCGCGCTTGGGTCCATTAGGCAGCGACTTGTATGCACTTGACTGGTTAAGCCTTTTAATAAAGCAAAGTTTATCAATGCAAATGCAGGCTGGCAGTCAAACAAAAACACACACTCGCATATACTTTTGTACATGTGTGCCCATTCGTGGAATGCAACTGAAAATGAGGCTGACTAACTGACTGACTGACTGACTGACTGCCAGTCCGCCTGCCTTTCAAATCAAAGGCCAATATACCGATTCGCTACACAAACAAACAACAAACAATTGGTGTGACAAATTAAAAACCGATTTTCAACAAATCGCACCCAAATCAAAACAAACGTAGCACCCAGAAATGAATAAGGATGAGGCAGAAGGCAGAAGGCAAGCTGATTTTGCGGTTTGTTAAAAAGTATACAAAATTGATTTTACGGGCGAAATGTTTGCACACAAAAACCTACATAAGCCACAATAACCAAGGACACACACACACACGCACACACACATATCAGCCCATAGCAGTCTATAGACACACATCCTGGCCTGCTGCCTGCGGCCGTTGATAATTGATTTTGTGGCTAGCGATTGCGCGCTGCCTACTCCTGGAATCCGGCTCCTTGGTACCGCAGCCTGTCATGTTTTTGTCTAGGGAATGACATGCACGGCTGGCCAAACACTTGAGGCGTGCCGCTGCGCCGACTATTGAATTTGTTAGTTCGCACAATTTACATTTTTGTATACGCTACACACACTAGGTGGTATAATTAAATTGACAAGCCCAATTGTCAAATAGAAATCCCAGCTGTCTCACCTTTTATCAAATGCCTCTGAATATATAAGTGTAAAATATTCAGCTTATGTGCGAGATATATATTCAGTGGGTCTTCAATTTTGCGATGATAGGGGAATGAATAAATGAATCATTTACATGAGACAGGCATGTCAATAATTGGAAAATAACTAAATAGCAATTATACTCAAGAATTTTAATTTACAAGTGACAAATGGTAGAGCTAGTTTTAAAACATTTCAAGATTTGATTTGTAGAAAAATGTCGTCTCTAATTGTTACAAACATTTTAAAGAAAGTTTGAAAAGAGATTATCTAACAAACGCTCGTTGCTATGGCTTTAAGATTATATTGTTGCCGCAGTCTTTTATATTTCTTGTATAAACATTCCCACTGATTCGTTGAATTATTATATTTCCCGATTCATTTCGTCCAAATACTTTTGCTGACTATTGCTGGCAATCGTCTATGCCTATTTGATAGACATCCTTTTATTTCCTTTTGTTGTTAGTTTTTTTTTGGTGTGTGTGTACATTCGTTAAAAAACAAATCCATAGACACACACGCACACGTAGCCGACATAGGAAGGAGTGGATTGTGAGTCGAGAGTTAAGGCACCCACCACATTGGCAAACAAAGCGTTAAATGCATTTCTATTAACTGCACCAACAACAACAACAACAACAGCAGCAGCAGCAACATAGCAATATGTAGCTAGACAAAAAAGGTCAGAGACGAAGGTCTTCTGCGAGTATGCAACAATATTTACCTTTTGCCCATGAGCGATCATTGGTAATCAAGCGCTTGAGACTTTTTCCGCTAGGGGTCACTATTTGCCGTTCAAATGCAAATAAGCCTTTTGCTAGGACAAACACGGCACTGGAAGGAGAGAAGAAAATAGAGGAAAAAATGAAAACACATGCACTGTAGTCTGTATTTGTTGAGGTTGTGCTCAACAGGTTCAAAGGATGCGCCAAAATACACACAGGCACAACTTGTCTTTCTCGTTTCTACAGAGTTGGTTGGTTGTGCATGTGCAAGTTCGTTGCCTAAGTCATTCGTTTCAAAATGAACGCATCACTCGCCCTTCTGGGTCGCAGTTCATTTTCAAGCCCAAAAATAAAACGAAAACAAAGACGAAGACGAAGACAACAGAGAGAAAAAAGAAAAATGAATGCCTAAATACCACGCCTCAAATGCGTGCGTGAGCGTGAGCGTGAGAGGCAGACGCCAACAGACACGCACACAATGAGAGCAATCGCACTCGTCTCTCTTCTTCTTGTGTGCCGTGGTAGTTGTTGCTATATATATATATACATATATGTACATACGTATGTAAGTGTGTAGGTGTTTGTGTAAAACATGGCGTTTGGCCGCCGCCGCCGCCGCCGCTGCCGCCGCTGCCGCCACAGCCGACTTATATTAAACGTAGATTTTTAATTTATTTTCTCTTCTCCTCGACTTTTGCAGCGCTGCAAGGAGAAACTCAACACGCTGGCCCTGCTGGTGCTTAATGAATGGCCAGGCGTGCGCCTGCTGGTGACCGAGAGCTGGGATGAGGAGCATCAGCATGGCTTGGAATCGTTGCATTATGAGGGCCGTGCCGTTACCATTGCCACATCGGATCGCGATCAGTCCAAATATGGGATGTTGGCGCGTCTCGCCGTCGAGGCCGGTTTCGATTGGGTCTCTTATGTCAGTCGCCGGCACATCTACTGCTCCGTTAAATCAGGTAAGAGCACAAAAATCTCAAATAATTTGTCAACTTGCGAAGCAAATAATTGCAATTGGAGATGCAAGAAAAGGGTTTAAAGGTGTGCGTGTGTGCTTGTGTGTATTGGCCAGTTAGTCAGAAGTGACACTAACAAGCGTAATTTCGCATGTTGCATGACACAGTCGCACTTCCGACTCACTCACTTGCTCTCGCGCGCCTGCTGGACACATTACAGCGGCAACTGGCGAGTAAGCTGACAGGCGTAGTCAAATGTTGCATTGAAAGCACACACATACCGACACAAGTTTCAACATACAGGGTGGTGTTTGCATTCATTTACATCCATTTCGATTGGGTTTTATGTTGAAAATTAGTTGCTCTCGTAATTACTTGTAGTTGCATTAGTTGATAGACAATATTTGCACTCCCCAACTAAGTATAATAAAAATATTGCAGCTTATGAATAAAACATTCTGCTAATTCTGTAAACAAAATATGTTCTTTTTTCTCTTTAATCTTTATTAAAAATCTGTCCTAGGTAGAACAACTGCAGGCAAAATATAAATCAATAAATAAATTAGATGTTATTGAACATTTTTAAACTCAAAACAAACATCTTAAAAAATAGGCAAGCAATACTTATGTTGAAAATGTTGTTTCTTTATTTCAAACTATTAAGATTTGTGGATTTAAATATGTGGGATAAATAATTTGTTTATTATTTAGTCAGCAGAAATATTGAAATATATGGACACTTTTATCTTAAGTCATTAGGTAAAAAAAACAAAATGCAATAAAATTTATCTAAGCTGTAAGAGAAAAATAAGAAGAGTAGACAATGTAATAGTACGCTAACAAATTCTTAAAGGAGTAGCATAGCCAATACGGAAAGTGTTGGAGCTTGCCGAATTAGCTATATGTGTATGTTGTGCCTCCGGGCAACCAATAGAACAAAAGAGCCAAGAACACGAAAACGTTTAATTTTTGTAAAACTAAAAAGTTAACTACACATTTAAGAAGCTGAAGATGAGTAGGAAATCATGAATATAGTATAAGCAATAGGATCAGGAAGTAAAAGGAAATATTGAATTTTGTTGTTGGACTTGAAACTAAACTTAAAGTATAACTAGGCACAAGTTTGAACATTTATTTTGTTTTGCGCTAACACGGCCAGCTGTGAATACATTTTTATATTTTTCGCGCTTGTTTCTAGACTAGCCTTGTAATTGACACTGAAATAGAAATGATGCTCTGTTTATAATGTGTGAGAGAGGCAGTATTCAACTGCCACCCTGTACATAAATACTTATTGCCAGGCCTTTTTGGCCAGGTCGATCCAAATTAGGCACGCTGCAGCCAACATGAATTGTGGTCAGAAACACAGGCAGGCAGGCAGGCAGGCAGGCAGCCATGAAACTGAGCTGGCCAGAAGAAACAAAAAGCAGACAAGCGGACGAGCACACAAGGCAACAAAGTTAAACCGGCCCCGCTTGAAACACATCCACATCCACATGCCAGTCCCCTGCCACATCCACATGCGCATCCACAGGCGGTGGTGGCGGTGGCGGCGGTGTCGGCGACGACTGACTAACCGCATGTTGTTGTTTTGACATGTTTAGGTTTGCGCCTGTCAAATTAAACGAATTGATGATACGACACCCAAAGCGTTTCTCAGGCAAAGGCGCGCACACACACATGCTCAGCTCTCTGACACACACACACACACACATGCACACAGCAGTTGGAAGATGAATTAAATGCGAGACTGAAACTGCGCTCAATCCTAATTGAAAAACTGGCAACAAGGTAGCTAAGGCAGTTGCCCGCCCCTGCCCCTGCCTCTGCCTCTGCATCTGCTTCTGTGTGTGTGTCTGTGTGTGTGCCTCGCATCTCGAGTGGCTGGCAGTGCAAAAAAAAAAAAAGCGCAACACGCTTTAAACTTGCTGCCATTATGGCCAACCAGTTTTCCCCGAAACACACACATACACAGAAATGCTTATACATAGAGGGCAACGCCAACTGCTGCCCAGGCCAGAGAAAATGTTGCAAGTGGAACATTGAACCAGCCAGTCAGCCAGCCTGCCTCAAACTTTTCGAGCTCTGCGCCGCCCGCGGTCCAGCCCAACAATATACATAAACAATTAATTTTGCCCGCTCTCTTCGCTAGCTTTTGGGCCATAGGCGTCGTCAGCAGGGGGCAGCAGCATTTTTTAAGTAGCTATTTTGTTTTTATTATTATTTTTATGAGCACTCTTTAATGTTCATTTTGCTGTTTTGCAATTTGTCAGCAACTTAAGTTTGATTTACGCTGACACTTTGACAGATGGCGGTAGTTTTTGCTTCCCCCTCTGCCCCTCTCCCCCCTCTACACCTCTCCCTGTTTAGTTTTGTCCAGCTAGCTGCTGGTGATGACGATAGTTTGCGTCTAAAATTACAGAAACGAAATGCCGCAATGCTCGTAAAAAGTTCCCACCACACACATTGCCGGTCACAATATTTTGACATTGTTGAAGAATAGAATGTCCTTGCGCAGCACACACAGGATGCTCATTGATTCTAATTGCGGGCGCAAATGAAAGAGGCCGCCGAAGGTCCTGGTACACACACACACACACACACATGCACACTCATCTGTGCGTATTGATAATCAATAGTGCTGCCTATTGAGCCGGAAAATATCAAAGTCACAAAGGGCCAACAAACAAGTGTCCTCCGCTGCCGCCGCCTGCCTATCATATTGTGTGTGGTCCTTGTTGTCCTTTCTGTGAGTGCGTTTGAGCGCGTGTGTGTGTGAGTGTGTGTACATCGTGTCAAATGGCCTGTCGGTCAGTGGTGGCTTGGACTCAAAAGTGCCGCCCATGCAAAGTCAATGTAGCCAGCAGCTATCAATAAATTTGTTCGCTTTGATGGCTGATCGGAACAAGACTTTTGACAGTTTTGTCACAGTTTGGCTGGCAAGTTTGTTGCCCAAGTCTTTTGTTTTTCGACAGGCTACGCGTAATTGCGAAAAGCCAACAACAAAATGCGGCAACAAAAACACCAGCAGCTACGAAGAGTAATGACTGTAAACGTTTTTGTCGACACTAATTTTTTTCTCCTTTTTCAAAATATTGGGTGTGCGTGTGTGTGTGTGTGTCGCGCGCGCATTAAAAGTCTAAAAGCGTGTTGTTGTGTTCATGTTCATGTTAATGCTGTCCAAACGATCAGTCACCAGCAACAACAACAACAACAATAAAAAACAACCATAAGCGGCAGCAGCCAAGTTAACGCGACCGCCTTTGTGCGTGCGCGTGTATGTGTGTGTGAGTGTGTGTGCGGCTGTCCTCTGTTTTGTAATAATTTATCAGTTTAGTCTTCACAACAAAGATAAAATAACGATAATTTTAACCACTTTAATGGTTTATTAATTTATGACCCTTCAAGTTCTTCACTTTCCGTCCAGCAACCAACCAAGGCGGTCGCTACGCTTCAGATTTTGTTGCTGGTTTTCTCATTTTCTCGTATTTTTTTCTTTTTTTTTTTGTTGTCATTCCTTCTTCTTTTCTTCTCATGCCGTAGTCGCAGGTTTCACACCAATTTTTCTTACTGCTACTCTTGTTTTTGTTGTTGTTGTTGTTGTCATCTCTAGCATTTGTTGAGCTTGTTACTACCGCATTTTGTTTGTTGCTGCTCCCTTTTTGCTTTGTCTCTGCCTCTGCCTCTGTCTCTGCTGAGCTGCCCTGGCTGCCGTTCTTCTGGCCGCTGCCGCCATCGATTGTGCCGCGTTTTATAGACCGCTGCCATGTATTTAATCCGATTTTTATTGTTTCTACACTTTTGTGTGCTGACCACACTTAGCAGCGTCCAAAAAGAGCCGAGAGACAAACTGCTTACCAAACACATCAATGGAAGGTGCATTTTCATTGGAATTTCGTTGCAACAACAACAACAACCACTTTATGGCCACTCATTATAATAAAGCGCACGGTTAGTGGTCGCTCGATCGGCTCAGCGTACCGTCATTCCGTCTTCAAGTCCTCCCGTCTGTCCGTTCGCTCACACGCTGGAATTTTTAATTTGAATTTTACAAGCAGCGACGTCAGCGGCATTTCCGCAGACCCTGAAGATGGGGGAAGACGGCGCTTCGGGTGTGAAATATGTGTATGCCCGGGTCGAGTGCTCCAAAAAGAAAGTTCTATTCTTGGGCCTTTTCAAAAACAAGAATTAAAACGTCAACAAAATGGTGAACTGTGCCAAATCAGTGAGCACTATTTATAGGAAAATATTGTCAACATTTTAATGGACTAATCATTTGTTCGATTAATGATGAAGGAGCTACCTATTGTACAAATATAAAGCTGAACAATAAATGGCTGCCCGACTCGCAGAATGCCATTCACAAATTATTCCTAAAGCGGTTTCTTGATAGATTTATTTCTTTATAGTAAGACGGTTCGAATAATTCAGATATTGTTTTTTAATTCTATAATTCCTATTTCCTCGTCATCTTTTAGTTGTTGATAGACAGGTTGATAACGAGCAGGATGCTTGATGGGGGCTGAGGATCGCAAAGATTAATTGGATTAGGTTACCTTTGTGCAATTCCCAATTAATTTACTGATATGTGGCGAAATTGGTTTCTTGAAAGATTTATTTCTTTATAGTAAGACGGTTCGAATAATTTAAATATTGTTTTTTAATTCTAAATTTCGTACTTCCACAATGTCTTCTTTTAAGCTACAGTCGAGCTATAATCTTTTGTGGAATCTTAGTTTGTACGATCGTGTTAAATTATTCGAAATATGCAGGAATTTTCCATGAACGTATATGTAGTTGATGCTAGACAGGTTGATAACGAGCAGGATGCTTGATGGGGGCTGAGGATCGCAAAGATTAATTGGATTAGGTTTCCTTTGTGCAATTCCCAATTAATTTACTGATATGTGGCGAAAAGTGTAGCATGTTGTGTGGTCGCCAACCTGAATCGAATAGCCCTAATGATGATTAATGTAATTGTTGTTGTTGTTATTGCTGTTGGGTTACAGCATATTCTATAATTGCAGCGCCCTCACAACGGCACTGAGAAATGTTCATATTTTCCAATCTGTGTGCGCAGGTTGATGCAACTGTTTTGTTGTTTGTTGCAACCTTTTGCTACCTGGAATTTTAGCGGCTGCGCCAGCGACTGCTCGCTTGCCACTTGCAGGCTGTCAGCTCACATAGAGGGTAGAGAGAGGTGCGCGTATAAGCTGCTTTGGCTCGAGCTCGAGCTCAACTGTGGGCCTTATCCCCTGCACGGTTTTTGGCTAATCTTCAAGCAAAAACAAGATCACAATTTTGTTAAACTCGAAACAAAAACACGTTGCAAATGTTGCTGTTGCTGCTGCTGTTGCTGGCAGTGTTATTGATATGCACGGCTATCAGTTGGCAGATCGCATAATGCGTCCTGGACAGCGGCGGTGGCATTTGTAATGTTGGCGGTTTTGTTTGAAAGCCGCAAAAGGCAGTTATTGTGTCCATTGTTTGTTGGGCTCGGGTTGGGTTAACTGTGAAAACCTTTTTGACTTGTACGGTTTTCAATTAGACGAGCGACCGAGCGACCCTTCTGGCATTCTCGCTTTCGGGATGGTGTATTATTAACGGCAAATTAGATTAGGCTCACTAATGCCGCTACCTACTTACCTACCTATCAGATACTGCATATTGACTAACCTCCTTTCCTCCTCTCTGCTCTTGTCTTGCAGATTCCTCCACCATTTCGCACGTACACGGCTGCTTCACACCCTCGAGCACGGCTCTGCTGGATAGCGGGGTGCGGAAGCCGCTCAGCGAGCTGGCCATCGGAGATCGAGTGCTGAGCATGAACGAGCAGGGTCAGCCTATCTACAGTGACGTCATACTCTTCATGGATCGCAATCTGGAGCAGGCGGAGAGCTTTGTGCAGCTGCATACGGAGGGAGGCGCCGTATTGTCCGTGACGCCGGCGCATCTGATCATGGTGTGGCAGCCGGAGCAGGAGAAACTGAGCTACGTCTTTGCGGATCGTGTGGAGGAGCAGAACTTTGTGCTGGTGCACAATGAGGCGGGGGAGCTGCGTCCTCAGCGCGTTGTCAAGGTCACAACGTTGCAGGGCAGAGGCGTCGTCGCTCCCCTCACCAAGGAGGGCACCATTGTGGTCAATTCGGTAGCCGCCTCGTGCTATGCGATCATCGACAGCCAGTCCCTGGCGCATTTCGGTCTGGCGCCCATGCGGCTGTGGTACATGCTGCAGTCCTGGTTACCCTCGAAGGGGCAACTGCGAAGCTGCACTGCCGCCCACAGCTCAAAGGGCGGGGAGGTGGCCACGGGCAAGGGAACAGCGCAACAACAGAACGGCATACACTGGTATGCCAAGGCGCTCTACAAGCTGAAGGACTACGTGGTTCCGCTCAGCTGGCGTCACGACTAGACGCCGGTAGGGGACTTGGACTGGTCGCCTCAATACTTGCACCATGCCTGAATGCGCATGCGTGACCCGATAATTGTATTATATATTTGTAGCTTTGTATGTATATGTATGCCTAACGATCCGATATACTATTTCAATGTTAAATATGATTATTGCTGATTTACGCTATTATAATATATATGAGATATATCCATATGCATATATATATATATATATACTATATTTATTTTAACACTAACGCCAATGCAAGCGCGCAAAAAACGAGCAAACTGTTGAAAATGTCCTTGTGTTTTTGTAATGAAAATTTTGTTTAGCTATAAGTAGGCAATTCCTGGCACAATTAACCAATTCTGATAAACAAAATATATATTATAGTGAGAGCATGGAATACACATAAAAGCCGAGAAAGAGATGACAACCCCTGTAGACGACTGTTGTACATTTAAATGATTTTAATGCATATTTATTGACAAGCATGCAGCTTGACTTACAATGGATATATATTGTACTGTATATAGAAGAAGCATTATAGTGACTGAATATTTTTATTGTATTTGTGTATATAATACTTGATAGTTAACTGCGTATTTATACTTAATTTTTAATGAATAATAACGAAATTGTTTGATAAAAAAACTATATCGTGTGTTTTTGTTACTCTTCTTACATAACTCAGTGGAATATTTGATGGCTTTTTAAGAGGTGCAAGAATCCTCTCATGACGTAATGATCAGAGAAAAAGGGGCATTTACATTGAAGAAGGAAAACGGATGCGATCTAAAAAATATTATAAAATAAACAAAAATTGCTAATAGGTTACTAAGTCAGTTTAGCGAGTATGTTGCCATTACTGCTCCAAATTGTAAGACTTTTAATACATTTGTTTTTAAATGGTTTGTTTTTGTTTTTAAATGGTATCTTCATCCATTAAAAGGTCCATTAAAAAGGTTTAAGAATTTCGCATAAATAAGAAACCTTCGTAGGATACTTTTTCCACAAGCTTACAATTTTTATCGCTAGGTGGATATTATTTTAGTCTCGCTTTTATTCTTTTGCCCGCTATGTGGCTACATGGACTATGTATCGCTAGGTGGATATATTTGTATATTCACTTTCTTTCTTTTGCCCGCTAGGTGGCTTTTATTCAACTATACCCAGCTGCAACTACAGCTGTGCGCTTTTTTTCTAGCCTTGGTATTTGCTTACCACCATCATACTGGCCACACTTGGCGGAAAATGTAAATAAAAGATAACGAGATTCAGTTCATCTCTGTTTGCCATATTTAAGAGTGAGGCCATAAATTTATGCGCCAGTAAAATGGCCGACATGAAGACCGAAATTAAGCTGGAGGGCGACTGGCTGAGTTGGTGTCGCCTATGCGCCAAGGACGATGCACGGCGGAATGTGAAAGTGATTTGTAGTCAGGAGGGGGTGGCGGATGGAAGCTGGGACAGTGTTCTTGTCATGGCCATCAGAAAGTACTTTGAGGTGCATGTAAGTACGCAGACGATGTTCAAAATATATGTGTGTGTATTTTTTAAATACCAACCGTTACACATTCTTTGCAGATGCGGCTGGAAGACGAACTGAGCAGTGTTCTCTGCACTGAATGCTACACATTGATAAGCGAACTCATTGACTTTGCCGAGCATGTTACCAAGGTGCAAGCCATCTTTGAAGTACTACGTCGTACTGATCCGACCACACCCTTTGATGTGGAGGCACTGCGACAGCAATACGGACTGGGTGAGAACGATTGGACCCACATCATCAAGCCATCGGACTATGAAGGCGAATTGGAGAAGAATGACTTAAAGGTAGATGTGGCTCAAGAATTTGTTGACCTCAATGCCAGCTTGGAGTGTGAAAGTGCACGGATGCATGCGGACGGCATGGAAGAAGTAACGGCCCTCGAAGAAGTTGCCATTGTTGGTTTGGAAGAGGCAGAAAAGGAGGAGCATGCGACCAAAGACACACTAATAAAAAGACCGCGTGGTCGACCCAAAGGCTCCACGAATGCCAAAAGGCTTAAACTTATAACCAATCGTACCAGCGATGGTACAAAAGAGCAATCTCAAAAATCTCTGAAAGGCCATTTTCAGAGTACTGCCGACAGTATTACTTTAGAGTACAGCGTTGATTCAAAGGAAAGGTCGCGTTCCTCAAGTCTAAATGGAGACCTCGAATTTCCGCCCGAAGATCGCAGCTCATCGATAGCCACTAACGAGGCTCTGGAGTCTTGCGATAGTGAAGAGAGTTCCGCTGATGAAGGGTTGACTAAACGAAGTCGCATGACTTGTACGGATTGTGGCAAGTCCTATAAGAAACCCGCATGTTACAAAAAGCATTTGAAACGTGGTTGCCAGAGAGTGACGGATCGTCAGAAAGTGGACAAAAATGTAACATGTGAGATATGCAATAAGACTCTTTCGTCAGCATCAGCCTTAAAGCTGCACAAGGAGGGCATACACGAGAATGCAAAGCCCTTCATCTGCGACTGCTGCGGGAAACCGTTGAAGACGCTCACAGCTCTCAATGAACACAAATTGGTGCATACTGAGGAGCGCCCCTTTGTGTGTACCATTTGCAAAGCAGGCTTCAAGAACAAAGCGCGACTGAAGGTTAGCAGGAACGGCAACGTTTGAAATTAATAGTAATAGTTTTCCTCAATTTTCAATAGATTCACAATCAAATTCACGAGGAGCCGAATTTCGTTTGCAATATCTGCGGCAAGAAGCTGCAGACACGTCGCACTTGGAACATGCACAAGCTGGTGCACACCGAGGAACGGAAAATGAAATGCGACGTTTGCGGTGCCTGCTTTAAACGCTCCAAGACCCTGAAGACGCACTTACTCAGCCACACGGGCCTGCGGCCCTATGTCTGCAACTATTGCGGCCGCACCTTTGCGTGCAATGCCAATTGCCGTGCTCACAAGATAAAAAAACATCCGCAGGAAGTGGAACAGGAGGACGGGGAAGGCGTGTCGTCGCGCCTTAATGTGCCTACGCTCGATGAGCTGCGCGTTATGTAAGTTAGAAACTTCTCAGCGATATGGATGCCCAAGTTAGATGCTCAATTATTCACCATTTTCGTTTTATGACAGCACCCAGAAAATACCCAAGGTATTAAATGAAGCGCCGGCCGAGCTGGCCAATGGCGTGAAGATCGTTCCAACCTAAATTGGATGCGGATCGGTGGACACAATGCATTTCATTCTAAGAATTTAATAAACCTTAGTGATTTTCTAGTTATTTTCCATTTACGCCCCCACAGTGTTACTTGTAATTCATTCCCAACTAATGATCAGCCTTGCTAGTCTTTTATTTATTAGCTGAACTCACACACATTTATATATCCGCATATTTTTCAATAAATATACATATGTATGTAATTAATTAGACTTGTTCCACATTAAGTTGATTGCACAAATAACACAAGCCCAAGAAATATGTATGTAGTTTTAAAAGAACTGTGTTTGTTTTGTTTTAGATGTTTAAACAGTTTGCACTTAACGGATGTGATCAACGGCGGTGAAAAAGTGCTTAGGACCGAAAACAAATACTAGCTTCCAATGAGACAATTTTATTTATTTATTTATTTTAATTTAAAAGTCAAATGAGAAAACACGCATTTATGATTTTTGTTTATAATGTTCAAAAGGCTTCGCAAATAATGTTTATTTTGGTTTTTTTAAACGAAAAAACATTCAATTATAATAACTTTGAGAAAGCGAGGAATTTACAACTGAACTAATGATTATTTTTTGAGTTTTATTCTTTTGATAAAAAATAAAACTAGCTGTAATTTTGCCGGAAAATATTCTTTTTATGATGTTTTTAGCCCAAAACTGTACTACTAGTATAGGGATGCGCCTTGGCTTATTATTTAAGGATATATATAAATTTTGTCCTTACTTCCAATAGAAAAGATAGGGATAATTACACCTTGAGGTTTATTTTTGATAAAAAAAATATATAAAGAATATTCAATATTTTATGATTTTTGTTTTGCTCAAAAATAATGATTATTAGTTCAGTTGTTAAGTAAACCCCAAATTCATCATTATATCTTGAACGAGTGAAAAAAATAAGCATTATTGTAATGATTATAGTCCCTGATATAATGCCTTCGTCATATAAGGAGAGATAATGGAGTAATATAAATAAATATACATGTATAATGGGTACTGCACTTGTCATAGAATGATTATGAAAATATTGGGATATAACTAATAAAAAACTGAGCAATCTGAATACATACAAATACTAATGTGCTTATTCGCCAATACGCGCCTTGTCGTGTTTTTTTTTGTCATTTTTTGTGCAAACGAGTTGGCAGCACCAGTTTATTATTAAACAACAAATCTGCTGGGTTTTTTTTAATTTCGCTTAGTTTATTCCTAACACGATAACCAGAATTGGTGAGAATGGAGGAATGCGCGGCCTCTGGCCCGGAGGCATCGAATTGGCGTCTCTGGTGTCGTCTTTGTGCGAAAGATCATCCGGAAAACACAAATGTATATTTCAAAGACGGCGAAAATACATGGACGAGTGTTTTGGCTCTGGCTATCGGAAAATATTTTTGGGTTAATGTAAGCGAAATTGATTGAATTGACAATTATAGTTTAAAGAGTACGATTTTGGCAGATTAAAATGGAGGATGAATTGAGCAATGTTCTCTGTCAGGAGTGCTACTCGCTTGTGGAGTCGCTCATTGCCTTTTCGGAGCGTGTGAATCGTGTGCAGGAGCTCTATAGCCGGCTGCGGCGAGCGACAGCGGAAAATTCCAACCCAAACTGCGAGGCGCTGCGCATGGAGTACGGCTTGCAGACAGATGAATACAGATGGAAGCACATTCTTTCAAGACCCGCAAAAGAGGTTGATGATATGGGGGCTGATACGGAAATGGGAAGAGTTGGGGTTAAGTATGACGAAGACGCCGAAATTCTTACAGAGATTGAAGAGGAGGAGTTTGTGCACGAAGAGGACGACGGCAGCGCTTTCGAGGCGCTTTCAGCGCAAGGTGAGGAACAGGAACATCAAGTGATTGCAGACGATACGGTCTTAGTACTAGAGGGAGAAGCTCCAGCAAGTGAGTTAGATGCCGAGCTTAGCAGCGAGCTTCATGAAAAAGAACACACCATAGAGGTAGAAAATGATAATGAAATCATTTATGAGGATGTGACCGAGACAATTGAAGAAACAGAACCTGAAGCGGAGCATGGATTGGTGGAAACCGAGAACATTGGGTTCGAGGAGGATAACGACGGCACGGCGATAAAATACTCATGTGCGATATGCGGCAAAGGCTACAAGAAGCCCATGTCCTATAAACGACACATGGACGAAGCGCATAACATGGTACCCGGAGATTTGCCAGATCTGAGCTGCAAACGTTGTCATCGCAGCTTCCCCACAGAATCTCAACTTACTGCACACTATCGCACACATCTGCGGCCCCAGGAAAAGTCTGATTTGTTATGCAACTACTGCAGCAAGACCTTTACAACTCATGCAGCCCTCAAGCGTCACATAGCTGGCCAGCATGATAATCTCAAGCCTTACATATGCGATTGTTGCGGAAAGGCGCTCAAAACAATGTCGGCACTCACCGAGCACAAGCTAGTACATACAGATAATTGCCCGTTTGAGTGTGTCGTGTGCCATCGGCGTTTCAAAAACAAAGCGCGACTGAAGGTGTGAAAATCTTGCAATTTCATGAACTTGACTCCACTGTAATCATTGTCTTTCACGCAGGCTCACGCAGATATACACACCAACAACAACTACGAGTGCGACATTTGCGGCATGAAGCTGAACACGCGACGAACCTTTAACATGCATAAGCTGGTGCACTCTGATGAGAAGCAGTACAAGTGTGATGTCTGCGGTGCGGCCTTCAAGCGAGGCAAGACGTTGAAAGCGCATCTAATACTGCACACTGGCATACGACCGTATAAATGCAACTTTTGTGGCAAGGACTTTTCAAATGGCTCCAATTGCCGCATGCACAAACGCAAGACGCATCCGAAAGAGCTCGCCGAGGAGGAATCCAGTGGCGTGGTGCGTGCTACCTACCTGCCCATGATTAATGAGTTGTCTGAGGCGTAAGTCTAGACTTCAGAGAGTAATACATTTAAGTTAAAAAACAATTTGTTTTTTACAGTTCAAAGCGTCTGAAAGCACCACGAAAAATTGGCTTTCCCAAAAAAAATAAAGCGTTGACGAATAGAAACGGGACGGGAGTAAATACCGAATCTGAGTCCCAGGCGGAGCTAGATAATCAAGAGGAATTTGTTCATGTGGAAGAGAGCAGCTCACAATTTACCGATACAGATGGGGACGGAGGTTCAGTTCTCTATGAACTGGTTGAGGAAATGGAGGTCACGTAATTGTTATTCCATATTCCATATGATCATTTGAAACGGGACGCGGATAATACCGAATCCCAGTCCCAGATGGAGCCAGATCATCAAGAGGAACTTGTTCATGTGGAAGAGAGCAGCTCACATTTTACCGATACAGATGGGGAAGGAGGTTTAGTTCTCTATGAACTAGTTGAAGGTCACGTAACTGTTATTCCATAGTGTAATAAATTTCAGAGCTCTATTTATATACAAACATATACGTGTATATACATATACATACATAATTTAATTCACATTTGCTTTCAAGTTTTTTCCCAGCTTACAGGCTAGTAAAAATTCGTATATTTGCGGAAAAAATACACTTAAATGCTTTATAGGCAGCTGATATTATAGGGCCTGCAGCAAAAATGAGCTTAACAATTGAAAAAGGGTATAGAAGTGTGTACTATCCGTTCCTAAGCAGTTTTAACTTATAAATCATTATAACGAAATGCCAATTTCTAGAGAAAGAAATTGCCTAATTGATTTGATCAAATTATGACAGTTTTACAAAATTAAAATGGCTTATAAGTTTGTATAAACATCCTAAATATATAACCGGTCTCGTTTTGTTTCATAGTTTAAATCCGATGTCGACTATTTTTACATATGTATATAACCCAAACCATAAATCACAAGATAATCAACGAATTTCGACAAAATAAATAACAAAATTTCTTTGTACAAAAGCTTTTTTTTAACTACCAAAAACAAAAAAGGAATTATAATAATATATCAAAGTTTCAATAGCTTCACTTTGGAATGTATAGATCAGCGATAAAAAAAACCTAGCAAAGATCACATATCGGGATGGACACAATACACATAATATGCATAGCAGCTACAAATAGGTTGGGTCTGTGCTTACATCTAAATAACTTGAGCTTATTGTACAGTTTACAATTTACAAAAATTCGCTAAACATATGGAGCACTACAATTCCAAAATCAATTTTAGAATGCTTTGGAAAATTGCGTATCTGAGTTACTCTTTGAATATTTTATCATTTTCTTTCTCAAGATCATTAGAATATATCGAATAAATGGAACCAAATTGAATTAGGAATCACAGTGCTCAGGTGTACATAGTATACATAGGTATATAAAAGTGCGCCTAGTTTTGAGTCCCACAGGGTCGGCTTAGCTATACCGCCCACCTAACCTAAATAGCAACAGCGCCAAGCTGCCTATGGCCACGAAAAATTGGAGCAACGCATTCCTAGCTGTACCCGCACCACAGGACAAATTGTCGCGCGGGTACTTATTGAGCGGATCCGGTTCCTCGCCGGGTCGACATTGTTTGCCAGCTGCGGCAAAGTGTTCGTCGCACAGTTCATGGCAGGGTGGACAGATGATGGCGCCTTTGTGCAGCCAGCCGTTGGCGGTAATGCGAATCGATAGCTTCTGGCCGGGAAACGAGCATTTATAGGTATAGTTTCCGACGAGTATATGCAGGCGTCCATCGCTGCAGTTGTATTTGTAGCAGCCGGAGCCCCAGTGCTGCCACTCCCGAGTCTGATGGCACGAACGCTCCTCCCACATGGACTCACTGTGGTCGAAACACTTGGATCCCTGGCCGTAACTCTCCAGAGCAAAGTTCTTTTCGGGTTCTGTGTACCATAAAAAATTAATGAATTATATTATAATCGAAATACTCGCTTCCATACGTACTGGGATTGTTCTCCATGAAGTTACAATGGGAGCCGCGCACAATCACGTTTTTGCTGCGCCACGTGAACTCCTGTATGTAGGGGCAGTGGTCGGCCAGGGAAACCGAGCCACCATAATAGCCTTCCTCGCCCTCCTTCACATTGTTCAGACTATCAAAATTTTGATATGCTTGCGGCAGTTCGTACTCATGCCGTATAAGATTGCAGAGGGCAACGGAATTGCGATCATCGGTGCATTCGGTTTGCAGTGGATCCTGTTTGACTTTGGAGCAGAACGGATGGATGGATCGACCACGACCATGATTCATTTGTATCCAATCCTTGCAGCTTCGCATTACAAATAAGCAGCCAAGACCCTTTCCCCAGGTCAGGGGCGTAGCCATGGAGTAGTTTGCGCGATACCAGCCCGAGTCCTCCATCAAAGCCAGAGTTATTCGAGAAAAGACCGGGGATTGTGTGTGCGTGCCCGTCATAGCCTCGTTCTCCAGTATACGCTTCTCCCAATGAGTTAAAGCAGTGCCCTCACCACCCTGATCCTCCAGCTCGGCACCCTCCAACTTGTCGCAATTAAAATGCGCGCGAACCTCGGCCACAACGCGTGGCGTAACCAACATGTCCACCGTTTTGTTCACATGGCCCCCGCGCACAGACCAATTCTCGCGTACTACCTTGCGAATGGTCTCATTGCTCCACTGGTGGATCTGCAATCTACGGGGGAAGAGAGTGTGAGATGGGGCTTGTGAGAATTGCAGTATGAGAGCTGAACGGTTTTGTTTACTAGTTTTTATTTTCCCTGCATTTGCCCCCATTGTACCCTTTACTGGAAAGTTGAAGGGTATATTATTTCACATGTTCATTCACTAACTAATCGGATGACTGTTCTCGGAGTTTTGTTTCTCTACAAACTAATTGTCGATTCTCCCTCCCTTTTAGGTCGTCTTATTTCCTTAGCTCCTCGCAGAATAACAAGAAATTATCTCCCACTTTTTTCTTGACAGATGCAGAACCGATTATTCATCGCACAATCCTTATCTGGTTTTATGCTTAATTAACAACCAATCTGTCTCTTCATCAATTCTCAGCCATCTCCGGAATCTCTGAGCCGACGGGGCATAGCTTACCGGATTGGCTAATACATCTTCCCCAACTGGGTCTGAGATTCCATTCCACACATTTTTTCACATATTTTTTATTTTTAAAATTAGCTTTAGCTAAACTTCCTTTCTCTGCTAAGTTTTTCTTCGGCGTTTATTAGAGATGATTATAATTTGATTAGAATTATCCTGTTAAGGATTTCCTAGCTTATACGGCTTTTATATAACTTTAATATTGTTTCCCTATGTGGACAGTAAATTTTTGTTGTCAAACTATCTCAATCAGCTGGAACTTAAGAAAATAATACTTCCTAACGATATACGTATATATAATGATATACAGAAGTCGGGTTTATAGATTGAGACTAAGAAAAGGCATATAGTTTGTGTTGTTAGGCACAGTGAAGAGTATGTAGCAACGACGCAGACAAAGACAGCTTTTTAGCACGTTTTCAACATACTTTTCATTCAAATAGGGCTTTCCCGTGTCCGCCTTTCGAGGAGTGCGCGGTCGTCCCTCATCGTCGCGAAAGAACGCATATAGGCTGACCGAAAAGCCCAATGCGTGAAGTATCTCATGCTTGACGGTGGAGATCAGGGTCTGCAGTTCCTGCGGCTTTGTGCTAATGCTCTCCGGGCATAAGTTAGCATGCCCAGCTATGGGTCTATCCAGCGTCGCCTCCTGTTGACAATGCGCTGCATAGGCCACAGTCAGACCCTTATAGCAGCGCTGGGTCTGTCGTGCCGACACGTAGAAGACGAAGTCTGCATTCTCGATGCCATCGCCCGGTTGTGTGTTGCTGTCGATGCGACAATTCTGGCCCGTAGCATTACAGACACGACAAACCTGAATATATATACAAATATATCAACTAAAAGTCTACTCGCCATTGACTCGCTGACTTACGTCCAGATGCTCATTGGGCACCTGCACCTCGCCGCACATCGTCGTGGCCTTGCACTGATCTATGCAATGAGTATGTCCATTCTTCACGTAGACCTGCGTGCTGTCGCATTTGCTAAAGATAATTCTCTATTAGGGATAAAGCTATCTTCTCGCTAATGCATTTACTCACCGATTAAGACGGATAATTCCTTTCGTTTCGCGTACCATCAGCGCCTGCTCCCAGAATTGTACAGCCTCAGGCAGCACGGTGTCCTGCAGACAACAATAATTTAGAGTAGACAACGAAAGTTCATCGCCAGCTCAGCTGGTTAGCTACTTACATTAATTAAATTGAATTTCTCCTCCTCCAATCTGCAAGTCACCGGAAAAATGTGCAATTTAATGGATGAACATACTTTATAAAACTTAAGCGAGTACTTAGAATTGTGGAAACAAGTTTTTTGCAATATTCTGGTCTGTTGTCATGGCTCGCCTTTGTAGCAGAAATGCGAAACGCGTCTATTGTAGACGTCGAATTTTCCTGGAAAAAGCCACCAACGCACTAATTTCGACCTTGCTCGGTGGCCTTGAAAAGTGGCAATTGCCAACTAAATGACCGTTAATTTAAACAGTTTATATAGCAACGACGAACAACGAACAACAACAAAAGCATGTCGCAATCAAAGTTCAGCTCGAACACCACCCAACGCTCCACCGATTGGCCGACTTGGCTAGGCCACCTGGTCAACTACCTACCTGCCTGTCTGCAAACTAATTTGAACAAATCGCTTTGTTGCATAGACGATTTTGGCATCAAGAGTTACCCAATGAAGCACCGAACTATGGGCCTAAGTGTTGAGTTTTGTGGTAAAAACAAATATGTAAACAAATATGCGTAATTGAAAGGGTGTTTCTTGAAGTCCTAAATGCCTTTGTTAGAAAGGTTTCGAGTAACATACCATATGAGCGGATGAGTCTAATTTTCACATTTACGTAGCAATTGCGTCTATGTGAGTGTTGAATGTATATGTGCGTGCATGGGGAGAGGGGGGTGGAGGGGAATTCCAAAAGGCATCTTGGACTTTAAATTTGATATCCCAAGGTCTTATAGTCTCCGAGATATAGGCGATTATACGAATGGCGTTACGGAAAAATCCCCATAGGGAGGAAGTACGGGGAAAAATCAAAAAAGTAAAACAAACCCGTATAGCGTACACACATAAGGCATCTATGTGCAAAATTGGTGTCTCTAGCTCTTATAGTCTCTGAGATACAGGTGTTCATACGGTCGGACAGACGGACAGACAGATAGACAGGGCTAGATCGACTCGTCTTGTCAAACTTATCAAGAATATATATACTTTGTGGGGTCTGCCACGTCTCCTTCTGTCTGTTACATTTTTCACTTCCCGCAAACCTAATATACTCTTGTACATTTCATGTACAGAGTATAAAAATAAATATGTCTGCGTAAAACAGATATAGTGCTTACAAGTATAGAAATGATTAGATGTACATACTTGTTCGTAGAAGAAATGATAAGATTAAAAGTTCTTAAAAGTACAAAGCATCTAAATGCTAGTACACAAGCAGATAGAGCGAGAGGCTACTGGGGCACCGCAGTTTGCTTGCAAGAGGATTTCTTTCCGATAGACTTTTGCAAAGGCTATAACTATTAGGGTTTTTGAAAACGATTATATAACCAGAAACCACAATTTGCTTATTAATCCTATTATACAAGTATATTTGTAAACATGTATTGTTAAGGTGCTAATCGGAATGCACGGAATCAATGCTTATAGTAGTAAGCAAGAGAAAAAAACAAAAAAAAATGGACTATTGGCTCGTATGTATAAGATTAAAGTGTTTCCCCAGGATTCGGTTACGTCCAATTCAAAATTGAAATAAAATGGCATCTAAGTAGGAATCTATTTGTTATGGCAGGAATCTTTTTTGAAAATATTGTATTTGAAAGGATTGCTAGAGTTTTTAGAATTTTCCTCTGAAACACTAAAGTTGTGTTGAGAAATATATTTCCCCAATAATAATAAAAAGTATTATTATTAATTAATTTAGACTTTTAAAATTACATTCCAAGAGTTTAGATGTGTGTTTTATTCTTACATGAATATAACTTCACTAGCGCTATCAAATCTTTTCTGTTTTGCATTGCACTACAAAACGGCGTTGACTTTTCGTATATAAACAAAGGTTAGGTAAACCTACAAGTATATTATAGAAGTAGTACTAGGTATCATTGATGCATGTCAGTGTTACACTGTTTTCGCGGCAGTTGCCGCCAAATACAATTATGTAACGCTTGGAAAGCTCAAAGCGCTTATTTAGTTTTCTAAGCCAACCGTACAGCTTCTTGTTATTGATGGCTGTGGTTTTGATTTCTATTCCACGGTGCTGAATTACTAATAGGTGTGAGTGAGTGAGTGAGTAACGGCGATTACTCAGCAACAGTTAACGGTCTTGGCGTGCAGCTTTTTAACTTGACATTCGGCCAAAGCTGAGTGTTCGGAACACAAATGTGTGCGTCTGTCTGTCTTTTAGTCTACCAGATTGCCAGTTTATTTGTGTATATATAGTATATATGTATGTATGTTTGTCTTGCTGTCATTAAAGTGTAATTAAAAGTAATTTGCTCACGCTCACCTGTAAACGGAGTCATCGTAGACGAGCAAAATACGGAGTGGCTGCTCCGCCACGCTGCGCCTGCGCCGTCCATGCAGAGCCGATGCTTCAGTACCATCCGTTAAATCGTCATCGCCAGCCAGCTGAATGCGCACGCCGTGTACGACCTATAAATAAGAAATTTTGGGTTTTAAATGAAAGCGAAAAGGTTGATTCCAATGCGATGACGCAAAGGCCATAGTCGCATACACGTACAAACAAAGCAAACATATTAGAGCAGCAGTAATTGTGCTTGAAAATTGCAGTGAAATTAATTTTAAATTGCCCGCCAAAATGTCGAACGATTGAGACATAAACAGCACAAAATAGACCCAAACGAATAGCGAACCGTAAACTGAAAATGTCAATAATTTGGGTTATTTGGTAGTTTGTGTTATTGCTTTTTTTTCTCCTTTGGCCTTTTGTCTGAGGGCCATTGTGTAATAATGTGCCAATTACTGTGCATAAATGAGACGCGACTTGCCAGCCATGCTGTTGAATATTCATGTGATATCTATGTGTATAATGTATTATATTCATATTCATATTATCTGCCAAAATCTGTTGACAAACCAAGCACAAAAAGCGCATCAGCAACCATCACACACACACACACACACACACAATCGCTGTTCGAGCTTTGTCAATGGGGTGTGAGTGTATCTTGGAGATACGCACGAGTGCTGCTAAAAATATACATGTTTTTATACCATTAAGCCGAAGTGGCGACTATGAACACAAAGTCTGCCCCCACACACACTCGTACTCATTTGTATAAGACGACTGGAGATTAGAGGCACTTGGCAATTGCTTTGAATTTGGTTGCCAAGCACGCAATGAGAGATGGAAAGTGAGCAGCAAGTTGGCCACAAGTCTATTCAATTTGAGTGTAACCTATTTAGAATAATATACTATAATAGCTAAAAAAGCCAGCTGAGCAGCTAGCCAGACATCCCCATTAAGCCAACAACAAAGCCAAGGTACAGCAGTGGTAGTATCATAAAAAAAAGTAATCTAAACATAGTATATACAAGTATGTACATTTCTTGGAGGTACTTCTGACGTCTGCAATTAATTTGTTTTGGCCTGTCTAGGTAAACAATGGGCTCTATTATAGATAAAAAGCTGCGCTGCAGCATCTCTGACGAGACCTAAAAGATTGGTGACGAGTGATTTATTATGTCTCTGCAAATACATATATGCATATATACTATATATTATGACTAAATGGCAAGGGCAGCTTCTCAGTCAACAGACTGAGACACCTGCACAACACCATTTACTTTAAACCGATTTCTTCTCCAATTTACTGTTTGCATTACAAATCTTTACTTATTTATGCACATATATGTGTGTAAGTATGAGGCACATTGTGTTTTCTTTGCGAGTGAGCAACAAAAGAACAAATGCGCATTGCGCTCTAAGTAAACAACAGAAAAAAGCACATCAACTGTTTTTTATTGAAAAGCCAAAGCTGGCTGCGCAGTGCCGTTCTGTAAATATTTTTCAAATGCCAAGGCAGGGAACTCTCTTTATCTATCCATAAACTGATGATAAATGCATCATGCATCATCAAAAACTGATTTATAAGCGACCCTTTACACTTACATCTATGCTAATATTATAAAGAGGAAAGATTTGATTGTTTGTTTGAATTGAAAAGGCTCCGAATCAATTGGACCGATTTAAGGGATTCTTTCACTGTTGGGAAGCTTGACTATCGACGGTGAACATGGGCTATATTATATTAGCAAAAAAAGAATGTAATCCTTACTAAAACACCAATGATGTAACCAAAGGTGTAAAAAAATTACCTTAAAAACTCCTGAATATCATGCTGTCAGTTCATAATCATCCTCGAAACATTGTCACTTTAAATATTAAGGCAATATTATTCAAAAGCCTCCAGCCAAATAAAAAATTACAAATCGATCGACACCGTGATATTGAAGACATTTAAATTCACTAAACCTTTCGGAATTGCAATCATGCTTTTGAGAAATTAAAGCCTTCCAAGCATGTGCAATGGGACGAGGCTGCTTATTAAGGAATTGCAGGACATTTTAAGTGTAGCAACTATTATCAACGGCCCAGCAACTGGTCAACTAGCTCATATAAAGAGGATACAAAGGATACCGATGATCCCATTTGATCAATTATATGGCTTAAATTTCCGGTAGTCCCAAGGCCAAGCCTTCGAATTAGTAGGGATCGACATACGAAAGCAATGTTTTAATGTATGTTGAGCTATCACGGGTCGTAGCTCCTGAAAATCAATTTATTTTGCTACCACAAAATAAAACATAAAATTTCTTTTACGGAGAACCTCTGACCTAATAAAGAATAACAAAAAAATCTAAAAACGAAGAAAAAAACATTAAAATAATAATATCCAAAATAAATTTCACTCCTTCTTAGTGTTAAGTGTGTGTGTGTTATAAAATGTATAATTATTAAAATTTTTGTAAAAATACCCGTGCGAAGCAGAGGCAGGACGCTAGTACTTAATAAGACAGTAATTAGAATTAAATATAGTAGTTAAAAATTAGAGAAATAATTCCAGTTTATGAAAAAAAACAATATATAAAGTATATCTTCAAAGTAATTAAAGATACAGATAAACTAAGGTAATCTTGTCTGTCCTTGAGCCCAACATAATAAAGATAAAGATATGTATGGGGCTATAATGGAACTGCTACGTATAATTCATGTATTAGATTTAATAATTTAAAAAAGTTGCTTTAGAGCAATTAAAAGGTGGAGATGGATTAAAAATTACTTGTGGATTAGATTAGCATCAGTTCTTGCTGGAAATCACTCATAGATGGCAGTTATGTATATGTTTAGGGAGTGATCGTGGGGATTTGTGTTTGAAAATAAGTTTAGAAATAAATGTAAATATTTGGATTCTATTTTAGTCATAATTTAGCAAATATATTGTATTTATTTATTTATTTTTGGCTGATCTCTGAAAGAGCATAAAATAAAATAAACGCGTTTTAAACTGTAATTACTTGTACTTTTGACATTTGTATAATTAATAGGAATATCTTCTCAGAATTCTTAGTAAAAAGTAATCAGTAAATGAAATGTGTAATGTAAGTATTTGAATTATATGCAGTTCTTCATAAAAACTAAGTGTAAATGGTTTTTAGAGCCAAAGCAATTAGGAAATGATGTTGATTCACGAATGTATTGTTTTGCATGAGGGACTCATTACAATTTCAAATTAGAATTATACAACAAAGTCACGTTGCGGGATTCCCTTATGGCTTATAATTACATGCATACAAACATACATATATACATTTGTGTATAATATAAGCCATTATAAGTCTTGCTGATAAACCCTTGAATTCCTCTTAATTAACCACACATCTGTTGCCTCATCACAATTCAGATAAGAAATGCAAACATTGAAAGATAGGCTTAATACCTCTAATATGTGGCGACCCCCACACGGCCTCTACATGCAATCTCTACATACATACATATCCATATGTATTCGTATTTATACTTATACGTGCATATATGTATGTATGTACTCGTAAGTATAAACATACAAGTATCATGCTCATTCAAATTGCGCAGCTTGTGGTTTTATGTGGACTGTGAATGCGAATGCATTGAAAATCGCTTGAATTGCTAAGGACTGAGCCATAGTAATAATAAAAAAAAAGCCAAACAAATTACAAATCATAAAGAGCAGGCCAGTGTGTGCGTTTTCCAGTCTGTCCGTTGCGCCTGACAACGTTTTCCACATTCGTAAAAGCACGCGCGGATCAGATTAAGTGAAAGATTTGAGAAGCGAGATGGGAGATGCGCATCTGGCAATACGAGGAGAGGCAGACACACGCATTTGTGCTCACTTTGTCATGGCAACGGGGAGGGGGGAAGGGGAAGGTTGAATTGCCACAAATGGTGTTGCCGGTGCTTTGTGGTGTCAATCAGTCAGATGCCTCATTGTCTGCATGTGGCAACGAAGCTAAGCTAGCGGCAATAGCAGCAACAAGTGCAAGTGGCATGGAAATCAAGACGTATGAAGATGATAAAAGCAAAACTTCTTATGCATTCATTCACAGCTGCGCCGCTACACTGAGGAAAATTATATCAACATAAATTCACTCGTAGTTCTTAGGATAAATGTTCAACTATTAATCCTATTAATCCATAATGCACTGGGTGGTAGGTGGAATCTTTTATTAGAAAACGTTTTCACCATTGTTAAATAAACCTTTGAACTCACAAGATGTTTTAGATTAATCAGTAAATAGTGCATATTTATTAGTATAAGAATAGACACTATATAAAATTTGAGGAGAAAAAAGTTCCATACGTATGTAAGGTGCGTTGAAAAACTATAGAACCACATACAAATTGCGATTGCTTAAAAACGAATGACCGTAGGGTACAACAATGTTCTGCGAAAATGTGTTAAAAACAAAATAAGGAAGAAATAACAGTATTTGGTAAGAAAAGTTACTGAAAAATTGTAAGCAATAGGGGACAAACGGTTTTTGGCTGTTGCATTACTATAGAACCACTTGCGTAATATGCAATTTTTAGTGGTTTTAGTAAGGGATAGTTGATTCAATTAGAGTTTAACACGGAGAAAATATTTAATATGCCTCGTTACCCATAAGTATTGGCATATAAAGAGCAAAATTTGGGCATTCGTGAAATTGCAAGAAAACTCGCTCGAAGCCACCATGTAATCCTGGAATTCATTCGTTTTTAAGCAATCGCAATTTTTTTCTGGTAATATGAAAGAGCTACATATTTGTTATTATTTTTATTATGTTGCGGAATCAGCCTGCAGCCTAACACGAAAGTTGGACATTTTCTATGTGAGACCACTCTTACAGTATTTTTAAAACCGCAAGTACCTATTTAAATCCTGCTTTATGCGATAATGGCAGCGCCGAAATTTGAACCGAGTCATATACTCGGGAATGAACTCACATTGTTGGATTCCTGTTAGCTCGTTGAGTTAGGCCCCACGTATTTTATTCACGAGCACTTCTAAAATATATTTTGTATATGCATGTAGAATATTTTATGTCTGCTAGTATGTCCTTTGATTTTCCAACCTTATAGGAAATCAATAACTAGCTTAAAAACAGAAAGC